CCCCAAAACCCCAAAACCCCATGCAATCCTTATCTTAAACAAAAGAAGTTATAAGAGAATTTTATTGAAGCTTAATTAAACTTGCAAAATTTAAGAATAATGCTTTCATTTATATAGAGTGAGAGTGGATTATTTTATTTGAAAAATTTGTCAGAGTTGTACAGATTTACTGAAACTAACTATCTTTTACCAGGTGTCATTGATTGCACTTGGCCCTATTTTGTTTTTTACCCAATTAGGGATGTTCCCAAAGTCAATTTAACTAATGTGAAATGCTCTAGTACCTATAATTTTCTTTTTCTCTTTATCATGATCAGCGTATATAGGCTTTAGCCAGTAAGATGAAACAAGACAGTTAACCATAGTATAGTAATTGCTTGTTTGCTAATTCTTATATTCTTCAATAACTTCTTCGTTTCCTCTGTTTGAGAATATTATTATATACTCATGTTTATCTGGATATTCAAAGTAGTATTGTGCTCCAAATACAACTCTCACTGATAATAATGCAACTGGAGGTTTAACTAGTGAAGCTAATATTTCTACACCTTCTTCAACCTTAAATACCTTACAAGAAGAGCAAGCAGGGTTCCATGTTGTCTATGTAGTCGTCATATTCTTGAATATATAAAGAAATTACTCAGGTACTGATCCCATTATTTCTTGGTCTACAAACATTACAGCTGGAGTGTTGTCATCAAAGTGCTTCCGCCTCAGAGTAAATTCAGGTTATTTTTCTATAATCACTGAGTCTTATTTTAAATCAGTGAGTTGATGAATATAATCCATTAAATCGAGTCTTAGTTGAGCCCTTCTACCTAGAGGCTGCTAAATAGTATTTTCTTTGATCTAGGATTCCTGCTCGATTACTTACGTGGAATTATTAGGACTACTTTCTCCTACTGCAGATAGACGTGGACTGTCAAATATATTTTGATTGCTTTCAAAACTTTCCTTTTTTGACATAAATATTTACTGAGAAATTGTTTTCCTCTAAATTGTAATATATGGAGTATTACTAGTTTAAGAAATATTTGATGGTCGCTCTTAAAATATTTCCTCTTTATTTGCATATTTTAAATAAGAATTCTTGGCTGGCTTAATGAGAGTTTCTACTGGTTTCTTATTGCTATTTTTAATGTAGGCTTCTACAATCTTTAGAATTTCAAGTATAATAATCAATAGGAAAGTAATAAGCATTCCTTGAATGAAGCCAGAAGAGTATGTTGAATTTTATGCGAGCTGACGACAATCTTCAGCAGTAGAGGAAAGCAATTAACTCATTAAAATATAGCAGTCTAATTATTATAAAATCAGATATAATCTTTATCTATTTTTAATTTAATACATTCTACTCATCTTTTGGTCAAGGGGTTTTGGGGTTTTGGGGTTTTGGGG